AAAAAAAAAAAAAAAAAAACTTTAGTCTTGTTTATACTTTTTTTTTTTCTTCATCAAATTTAAACAGCAAATCTCTAAGGATTGATAAAATTAGTAATGCCAATAAAAGTGTTCAAACAAAACTGTAACTTTTTCTTATCACAGATTATCAATTAAAATGGTCAAAAAAAAGGTAAAGCAAAACTGCAAATAAAAAAAAAACTTCATTAAAAAAATTACTTAAAGAAAAGCAAAAAATTAACTTTCATCAACTAATAAAAAATTTTTATTATTTTTCTCTCACTGTTATCTAAAACTTCCAAATTTTTAAACATTTTCTTAACAATAGCACTTTGTTTTTTTTTTGATAATCATTCTAAAACGGTAAATATTGACGCAAAAATTAGACAAAATTTTCTTCCGTAGAAATTTTTCATCTTCTCTTTTCATTCTGTTTAATTTAGACAAAAATAACTGAGCAAAAATAAAAGTGATTTTTCAAAAATAGACAAATTAAAAGCAACCAAATTTGGTATTAATAACTGAAAACAGTCGACAAACAAACGAAAAAAAAAAAAAGAACTATGCTTTAAGACATAAGTCAAAAAAAAAAAAAAAAAACAGTTATCACAAAATCCATTTGTTTTGTACAGAAACGGAAAAAAAAAGTGGTTACCATTTCACAATATGTATGAAAAACAAATCAAAACGAGGAAAAAAAAGAAGTACTGCATACATAAAACTGAATAAATGAGCATAAGATACAGAATTATAAACTAATATTTTTTTTTGCAATCTTTTTTTTCCACGTTATTTCACAATTGCAGAACGACGTATTTGAAACATTAATAATAAACTGAATTTTTAAAGAAACAGAAAACGAAATTGAGATTTTTTTATATTATCACATTAATTAAAAAAATTTTTGCTCAAAACACGATAGTTATCAGTAATTCTGAAAAGTAAAATTGAAAAAAGAGTCTTTCTGTTTTTTTTTTTGCCTTATGATAGAAAATATATTATTCTAGAAGATAAAA